ACGGTATGTTCTTGAGTAATATAATATACACATTATCGGTGTAATATCTCCTACATTTTCCTCCCTCTCAACATCTTTCAACACAACTAGATAACTTAATGGACATCAAAACAGAGGTATGATCCGTTTCTTCTAATTCTTTCCCTTAAAGCACATAATTTTCTCCTATAAGAACTTGTTGAGTCAGTTTTTTTCTATCCACCAAAATTTCTCTTATTCATGTGCATTAATTAGAAAATGAAAAGGGAAAATTAGACTCAATACTCTGAAACTGATAAAAATTAGATTAATGCGTTAAAATGAATTAAATCTCACATAAATCGTAACTAAAATCCTCAAATCTCAACACCCTTCCGAGAAACTTCGTCTCACGTCTCTCAACCAAACATACAATTCCAGAAACCAAGGAGAAATCTTCGTCTTTATCGTTTTTCTTCGGTCTTCGCCGCTCCACCATCTTTGTTATCTTCCTCTGTCTCCTCTCCTAGGACCTCTTTAATACTGAACCCCTAAAAGCCCAAAATTGTACAAACCTCACCTCACTCCAAAAACCCGCACCGACTCTGACTTCAACTTCTGCAAACCGTCACCTGACTCAAACAAATGATTGGAGAAAGAGAATTTAAGGGGTTGAAGGTAGCCAGGGAGGAAAAAAAAGTTTTAATAAAGAAAGATCTTCGGGAAGAAGGAAAAAATTTCTTCAACATTTTATAAATTTGAGGTAGCTAAGATTTTTCACTATTTAACTTTTTTTTATGGTTTTTATTCGATTTTATGTTGTAATATTTGCTGGTTTTCTGAAGAATATCACTGTTTATTCCATTTTTAGTTTTATATGAATAGTAGATACCTACCTTAATTTGATTGGTTTTATGTGAATGGTTGATACAATTTTAGTTTCATGTTTAATCATTCAGTATGAAAGAATGATTAAAGTATTTGAATCTGACTGTTTATTCCATTTTCAATTTTATGTGAATAGTAGATATCTTAATATGACTGGTTTATGTGAATGATAGATACCATTTTCAACGATCTCGAACACCGAATTTTTTTTTCATATATTTATTAAAGGCAACAACACTTTTGCGTATATTCTTCGACACCATGATGAGCAGAACATATCAAAGCTATGCATGTCTTGGTCAATTCAATAGA